CTTGTACGCTAAGTAACTCATTTATTAATAACGTTTATATATATATATATATATAATTAATTTTGAATTATTTTTACATTTTTAACAAAATACACCCCACTGAGAAATGAAGAAAAGCATTTTATAATGTAAAAAAAAATACACCCAAATTTTATTAAAAGACAAGAATAAAATCACAAATTAAGAAAGAATTAATTTAGTTTGATATGTTTACAGTTAAAAAGTGTACCAAAGATCACAAATGCCAACACCAAGATACAATACAAAACAAAATTTAAATAGTTTGGTTTGAACGTCGGATACTCGAACCCGAATCACAAGAGAAATTTTGAATTCTCCAATAGAATCATTAATTAATTTTTACGTCACAAAACACGTCAGAGAGTTGCCGAGGCGGCAAATAGAGAGAGAGAGAGTATTTGAAAATACGAGGAGCCATGTCGAGTTTTCCAAACAAAATGAAAAAGGGCTTATGACGAAGAGGTTAAAAACATTAGCAATTTCCCATCACGTGACCGTGACATCATCGAAAAATAACAAAGCATTCTGTGTTGACTGCATTTGTTAAAGACTTGTAAGAAAGCCAAATGTGCTTACAATTGCCAAAAAGACAAGAGTACACGTCCCTGGCCTATTTTCAAATCGCTCCGCCAGAGCAAAACTAAATTATTACATCATTTCGAACATATAAAATATAATAAAAATTTTATTTATTTATTTATTTATTTCTCATAAAGAAAATTGACTGCAAAATCTGGATAAAAATGGCTAAAATTTTAATTAAAAATGCTGAAAAATTAAAGAAAAAAATACCCCTCAAATTTTCTAGATAAAAAGGGCTTTAAATTAATTATATTTATTTAAATTAAAAATTATTTTTGTGTTTAATTTTATGCCTTGATTACTCCCAAGCATCTTTATAGTTTACTAATCTTAAATATAAATAATTTTTTCCGATATTCCGTAGGGAATATACGTGATTAATTTCGTCTGCATTCTCTAAAAATACACCCTACGTTCATATAAATCATTGTAAAAAATATATAGGCCTATATATATTTTTTTCTTTTCTGTTGGGTGATTTGAGATAAATATCCTTAATGCTTCGAATAGTCGAACGTTTGATAAATATTCATAAAATTTTTATTCCACATTTTTGTTTTTTTTTAACTTTTTTTTTGGCTATTTATCAAATAGGCTCGAGTATCCTGTTACAAAACTGTCAAAGAAAATCCGGAACGGTCTACGTGATCATCAGCTTCGTTAATTCACGTATATTACTACGTGTGTTTCTATTTTAGAAACAACGACAAATATTCGTTATATTTTATGTAGAATTTTATTCGTTTCTATTAGAATTTTATCAACGTATATCCAGGATTTTACAGATTTTTTCCAGAAAATTTTATCCAATTTTTGTGCTGGATTTTTTATCAATTTTTGTGCTGGATTTTTATCAATTTTGTGCTGAATTTTTATTAATTTTTGTGCTGGTTTTTTTTATCAAATTTTGTGCTGGATTTTATGAATTTTTGTGCTTGATTTTATCAATTTTTATGCTGGATTTTTATCAATTTTTGTGCTGGATTTTATCAATTTTTTTTGCTGAATTTTTATCAATTTTTGTGCTGAATTTTTATGAATTTTTACCCAGAATTTTAGATTTATTTTTTAGATATATTTTTCTAATAAAAATGAAAACAAAAACTTTAATTCACATGGAATATATATGGAATATTAAGCGAAGAAAAAATTTATTCAAGACTTTCCTACGATTTTAATTATTTTTACACATAAAAAAAAGTTAATTTTTATATTATATATATCGTTTAAAGTTTTAGATTTCAAGAAAAACTCCAGAATTTAGAATTTTATATTTTTCCACTTAAATTCACACCATAAACACGATGCAAACATAGATTTAACGAGACGTTCTATACCAAAAAATTCGAAATTTTAATAGATTATTAATTAATTTAATTTAAAAACTTATATTTAGTCGAAAATAATAATATATAATTGAATTTTTTTTAGAGGTTTCGAGACCATTGTCCACTATTGTTCGTCCTTTTTGGAACTCATTCCACTTTCGTTCATGTTGGGTTTTTATGTATCATTCACAGCTACAAGATGGTGGAACCAATACGTGGCCATACCTTGGCCCGATAAGTGAGTATACAGAAAATATATTTTAATAAATATTTTCCTGGATCTATATTATATATATATATA